TCAAAATAACGCTCTACTTCTTTATTACAGATAATCACGTGACCGGTCAATTCATCCGGTGGTCGGATGATACATCTTCGCTAATCAAACTCCAAAACAACTATGTACGCTGATTTTTGCATATAATTAAAAGAAAATTCATGGATCAGAATCATTAATTCATCTCGCCTTTTCCTGTTACAGGTGATCACGTGATTTCTGGATTTGAACTTATTTCTTTAACATTCTCTTTTGATTTCGGAATTGTAAGATAATTATGTATGCTCAAACTATCATTAAAATAAATGCTAACGCATGGATTATATTTATTTTTTATCGGCCGCCCGAATTGTCATCACTTTTCTATTTCAGGTAAAGGCTTCTTCAATTAATGGAACGTTATTTATTCTTTTACATTTTATTTTTATTTATTCTATTCGCGCACGTTCATTCATTCCTCCATTCATTCATACTTTACATGCTGTATATATATAACGAAAAATATAATAGACTGATACTAAACTCATCGAAATCTATGGCTAAAATAAAATATTTCAAATTGGTGATTGATAATCATAAAATAAACTCACAAAAACAATATATAAAATAATTAAAGACACTCTGAAATATGAAGTTTATTCCTCAGTTTCCATCGGTAGCGGCGGTGTCATCGGCTCGTACATCGGGCTCTCCGCTTCCTCCACCTCTTCTTCCGCCGCGACCTCCGGAACATCCGTCGGGCGGCGCTCTTCCGCCTCTCGCCTCTCCATCCACCTGCGGACCACTTCGAGCGCCCGCTCCGCCATGGACGACGAATCTTGACGGCGGCTGCCGACATCAGCCGAAACCGGCTCAGGCTCTGATGTCGGTTTCAAGTTCACCACTACCGAGACCGGTGGCAGGGCGCAGCACTATAGTTCCCCCACTACGGCAACTACTGCTATAGCGGTTCACGACCACGACTTCGAACAAAGGCAAACCAAGGCAAATAAAGGCTTTTGTTATTAGCAGTGATTAGCAGTTAACAGTTCGTTACATCGTTGATCGTTCTAGTTCTTTCAAGAGGCAATTAAAGGAAGTTCCTTCCGATCAGAAGCGAATCAACGACGATTTGAAGACGATTTACGTAAGATATTTATATTCTATAAAATTATATTGTATATTTAACCTTTAAACATCATCAACCTGGATTGTTTGTGCCCGATTCCTGTCCGTGCAAGTTTCTCGCAATTTCGAAAAATTCCCAATTATATTAGTTTATTTTTTTTCAAAATAAGAAATGATTTCGATATTTATTTAAGAAACTTGAAAGTATGTTCATGAATTTTTAAAGATCTTTTGAATTACTTTAAATAGCTGAAAAAGTGGACGGATACGAACAATCCAGGTTGATAAGAATAGGGTACCGTTTTTTTACACGTATCGTAAGGATTAATTTTGCTTATTATAAAATATTATTAATATTCTCAAGTATAGATACCCACTAATATTATGTAATTGATTTATACGCATATACATTTGCATATACATAGACAAAATATAAATATTTGTAATATTTCAAATAAATTTACAGAGAGAGAAAGAGAGAGAGAGAGAGAGAGAGAGAGAGAGAGAGAGAGAGAGAGAGAGAGAGAGAGAGAGAATCAAGATGATTCAAAGGTGCTGTGTACCAAATTGTACATCAACCTCCAGAACACTATCTCATAGACTTCCAAAAAAGTCAAGACAAAAATATGGCTAAGGGTCATTGGACGGATTGACATGATTGGTAAGCTTTAAACAATTTGTGAATGCATATTGCATAAAATTTATGATCTACAATTACAGAAATGTATTTATGAAAATAGATGTAGAAATATCAAGCTTTTATAAAATATTGATAACTATTTTATACAATTAAAATATTTCAGCAAAATAATAATATCTTAACAGTTTCAATGTGTTAACAGTTATCTTTTTATAAGAGATCAATATGTTTACATCTATTTAATTAAATCTATTTTCTTTAATTTTTATAATTGCAGATTACAAATTTCATACAAGGTTGTACTCATACTATTTCATAAATAGTATCCTATCGGAATAAATAATACTAAATAATTTTTTTTGTTACAGATGCATCAAGACAAATATTAAACAAATTAAGGATTTGCGGTTTACATTTTTCGGAAGATATGCTAATCCCTTATGCATCTCAACGATGCCTAAAGGATTGTGCATTGCCAACTCTATATTTACCATTAGAAATAGATGTTGCGCAAGATACTGCCAATACCATTTCTAATAGTACAAATATAGATAATCCCGAAATAATTAAACGCAATCCTGATTTTCCAATGCCGACAACGCCGCCAATGCCTATACAACAAGACAATGTATTAAAAATTATACATGTGAAATCAGTTCATACAGTAGATGTTCATTATCTACGTAGTAAACTGAAACATGTAAAAAAGATACTGTATAAGAAGAAAATTACAATTAAAAACCAACGGGAGAAAATAAATCGACTGCATCGTAGGAATAAATGGGAGGAAATTACACAGGAATTATCTATTACACAAAAGACTTTCTTTGATATGTTAAGCACAAATCTTCATTGTAAACCACAGGTATGTTTTTTACAATTATCCATATAGCACACGATGTTGCATAGACTACCACGACATCCATATAACATCGTACAGATATATTGTGACATCCAAGTGACGTTCCTCGTACGAAGTATACTGTGTGTGAAATTATAACATTTTTAATTTAAAATTATTGATAAAATCAGAACGAAGAAAAATATAATTTTGTTAATAATTAATAATGTACATTCAAAGACACACACACACACACATTATTGCAATATTATTAATATCCATGCAATTAATTTTAATTATACGTATAACTAAATAATATATAATTTAAAAGGTCAAAATAGAATCCTACGAGAAATATAGAATTGATTAAAAAATGTATGTAAAATCATTTATAAAATTTAGTTTTTTGTTTAAAGTTGACATATAAGACATGTTACAGATATCTCAATGACATGAAATAATAATTAGCTGATATCATTTGATAATGTTATATATTTATCTGAATAAAAAGTATTAATTTTTTGTATCTTTACATAAACATCGATTTTTTGCATCTTTAATTTTATTTTAGATTTTTATTGGCATTATTAATTTTAATTGTATATTTTAATTATTAGATTTTGTTACGCTTATTACTCCTTTAAAATTATGTTATTCTTTTAACAATATATATAATAGGTTATTAACGCTTATTAGTAGTAGTTGAAAAATTAGTAATTATTAGACGTATAGAATGTGTTTTATAAAAATTTACGAAAACAAAATTTTAATTTTTTTATTTTGTTGCAATACGTACACGCAGGTAAATACGTATATTTATGAATATATATATAATTTTGTTTTAATTTTGTTCAATATAATGTGCGCGCATTACACTGTTATGTCCGGTGGACTCCACAATTTCTCCGTTCGCAAACGTTCGCTTAGATAAGGGACTTAGAATAAAATAAAGTTTATTGGTCATCAATTGGCAAACAAACATCGACCCAACGAGATCAACCGTTGTCTGTCTTCTTGGGAAGATTTATTTCGAGAAAACATTTTATGAAGATTTATTTCAAATTATCGGAACAAACAAGAGAAATTTCTAACAGAAGAATTTCGAAAACAGATAAAAACCTTTTTTTTATATATATATATATATATATATATGTGTATTATCCGCGGCAGTAAAATTCGATTTCAAAATACGCTCGAGATCCATATGTTCCAAGATATAAGAAAAACAAATACTGTTTAGACATACCGTCGCAGCGGAATTATAAAAACTCACAAAGGGATGTAATAAA